TCCTTCACTTTACAGCCCCTCAGTATTTTTCTGTACATTTCCCACTTTTTCTGAGCAGTCTGATTGGTGAATAACAACGTAACTGTCCTGTTTCTGCTCTCCTGGGATGAAATTGTGAATACTGGGGAGATGCATTTGCAAAAACAACTGAAATGAGTAGGTCCGTAATCATTAACAGGGTGGGTTGCTTGTGAGCGGGAAAATAGATTTGTGTACATAAACTCCTTGTAAGAAGAGGCAAAATATACTGAAGCGATCTAGTGCTTTTGAATGCTTTTAGTTTAATTAGTGCCTATTACTGTGAAATCTATACAGAAAAAATAAGACATTTTCCTTTATCAAGGTTGGTTGTGTTTGAAAGAAGGAAAAAGTGAATTACAGTCTTAGAAGGCTTTCTGTATGTATAGCACAAAGGGAAGAAGGGGTTAATCATAATAGAAAAAGGGAATTTACCTATATATTGAAGTACTTGTCAATTAAATAATGATCTGAATAGGAGAGATGGTAAATAATGTGATGGGCTCTAATGTATTTTGAAAGCAGGTCTTAATTTGCTCTTAGGAAAATTTATTCCAGGTCTAGTCCAATCTGGTTCTCTGGAGTCCCATCTGTCTTGTAAAACTGGAGGCAACTTTTCCATGGTCCTTTGAGCTGGTCCAACGTGGGGCTCTTGCAGTCTTACCGCCCCCCTTGAGCCTGCACTGACTTCATGTTGATTGGCAACAAGTTGGGTCGGGGAGACGAACAAACTGAAAACTACACTTGCTTGCAGGAGTGGTTGGTGTCTGGCTGGATGAGCCCCAGGACTCATCTGGCTCCCTAGCAGCGCTAGCTGGAGAGGTGGCTGTGAAACAGAGAGGGATGGGTCTGTGCAGGGCAGAGCTCAGGCACCCCCGAGAGAGGCTGGGGGACGGGATCCAGTCTGAAAGTGCAAATGGGGCATGTAGGCATAGGACAATACCTCACAACCTCACTGTACGTTCATAGCGTGTTGCTTTCTGTTTCTAACCAAATCGTCACGCCCTCTGAGATAGTCTGTTGTGGCTTCTGAAGGTCCTGGTATTTAATAGTGCCATTTCAGACCATTTAATGGCATCTTGACAGCAAAAAATCCTGATATGAAAGAAACGAAATAAAAGAAATGAAGTAGAAGGATGCTGCTTGGCAGGACGGTAATAAGACGTGTTTAAAAGAAACCTTCATTAAGCTTCAATTTGGCAGAATTATGCCTGTACAAAAGAAAATGAATAATATACAACAGGCCGAAGATGCTGCCAAAGATTGGAAGGTGTAGTTGCATAGGCCCAAATGGATCTCTTAAAAAATAATCAAGCAGTTTGGGGGAGGGAGGAATTTTCCACATAAACTTTGCATGTACATGAACTGCTCTGCTCCAGAGCTGTTTATCTTGATGCTTTGCATAGGCCTGAGTCTGCATTTTTATCTTTTTCTGCAAAGTTAAATGCCTTTAGTTGGAAATCAGCTTGACCTGTGGTAGTTCCTGAAAAAAAATCTGTCATCTGGTCCCACTGATCTGTATTTAATGTAATTCTTTCACTTGCTTATTCTTCAATGTTCTGAGCAGTTTTTCATTTGTCTTTTAACTACATACAATTCTTAATGCTTCTTTTAAAATGCCAAAAGAGGAGTTTCTATTTCTGTTGTAGTCCTATGCTTATTTATCCTTCTTTTATAATAGTTTTCTGTTTCCTCTTACTTGTTATAAACTACTAAATCCTATATTGCTTTTAACTCTTTTGAAAGAATTTTCCTCCACTTTTCTTGTTTTTAGACTAATATGTTTGTCTGAAAGCTGTATGTTCTGCCTTACTTCTTTCTACTTAACTTTTGAGCTCGTTGACTGATGTCAGCCAAAATTGACAAAGTGGTGTCGGTCTTAAGGATATAAAATATTTACAGGTTTTATGAATGTCATCAGGTCGGTTGAGGGGGAAGGACCGAAATTAATGTTTCTGTTGATGGAAAACCTGCAGCATGGTTTCAGGTTATCTGCTCTGTTAGACCTGACTTGAACTGGGCAGCTAGTTGGTGTACAGCTCTGAACCAGCTGGAGGTTATGCTGCCCTTTGACAAGCTGATGGGGAGCACAGCTGGATTTAAAAACAGCTCTGTAATAGCTCTGAGCTGTGGCCAGAGGATGCCTATACTCTGCAGTGCAGACGTGAAGTTGTGTAGGATGCGTATGCGAGATAAGTGATTCGGACCTGATCTTGAAGTACCCCAACTGAATGATTCTGAAAATTGAGCTCTGTGAAGTCACCATTTCCATGGAGCAGCCTTCAAACCATGTTAATCGGTGAAATTTTGAGTTAGAATCTGGTGCATATGCTGGTCTCCACATGATTTGAGGGCTTGACAGCATTAAGTTTGTTGCAGTATAATGTCTGTTGGCGTACTGTGTAAATGGATTTTTTTTTTTCTTTTTAAGAGGGAGAACTCCAGAAGGACAATGTATTTGTAATCTTCACTTACATCTTACAGTAGCTCCATGCTGAAAAGATAAAATAACAATTTTCAGTTTGGAGGGTTTTTTTTTGCGTGTCTTTTTTTTTTTTTTTTAAAGGAGGAGAGATTGGGGGTTGTGCTGCTTTTTTTCCCAGTGCCTTTTCTAAAACGTGGTTCAACAGGATGTTTGGGGGAAATGTGACATTATTGGGTTTTGGCATTCCAGGAGAGCTTGAAGTGGATCCAGCCTATCGTCTTATGCATTCCCTTCTGTACCGAATGTCAGGAGTAATTCATGTTGTTGACAGCTATGTCAACATGTGAAACTGAGTGAAGGACAGGAACTAAACAAAAAGCTAATAATAGAAGAGGCAAGAAAGTGAGAAGTGAACACTTCGTTAGTAAACTTTCTCGCTGTCACGAGTAAGAGGGTCAAATAGTGCAGCCTGTCCTTATCTGTTACTGCAGGCGCCTCCTTGTTGGCAACGTTCAAGCAAAAGAGAGCTGTTTGTACATCTATGTGCGGTTTGTAAGTATGGGAAACAAGCAATTTACCCAAGAAACACTCGCAGTGGATTTATGTAGAGGCATATGAAAGTCACTTTGATTCATCTCCATTTCTTTGATTATTTACCCTACTTTAAGCTTATGCTTCCAAAAACTCTATAAAGTATGATCTCACTTGTACCCATTGCAAATATTAAATATATGGTTTGTCTCCCAGGCAATGCGAGGCATGATGTTAGTTGTTGTTTGATGCATCTTCTGCAATAGAAGAGTCATTTCTGTTGGTTCAGTGATTACCACAGTATGTATCCCATCATAAGCTAACCGGCAACTCTAGTACAGGCTGTTGAAGAAACATTTTTTCTATTTTGGACATGCTTAGTCATTCCTGTTTTGGCCTCTAACAGGTTATGGGCATTGCTCCTTTTTCTTTCCTAGTAAATCCTGTGAACTGGCTAATCCAAAGGTCAGTTTGTGTGAAACAGTCTCTGGTGCGGGAGGATGGGAATTCTGGAGCGCTGTGTTATTGCCCAAGTGTGTTGTGTACGGCTAGCAGAAATCAGAGAATATGTTCCACGTTCCCTTGTGTGGTGGTAAACCTAACAGTTTACATCACGCAGGTATGGAGTGGCTGCTAAATATGGGACAAGCATATGTAAGAGGATCTTTATTAGTAGGGAATATGATACAGCCCTTCTGTGTCCTAAAGACAGCATTCAGCTATAAATGTATCTTCACAGTTGTAAATAGAAAACTTTACTAAAGACACTTACCTCTAATTTTGCTTTTTCTGATAGTTAGACCTGCTTGTTTGTTTGTTTTACTTGTGATTTGGTGTAGGCAGTGTAAAACACATTCATATCCTTAATTATTAGCACATTTTGTGTTGATTTTTTCAGGTGGTCTAGTGTGCAGATCTAGTACATTTTGTGTCTAACTGAATTGTTACATAAATGAAAATATTTTCTCTTGCCAGAAGGAAAATGTTTTCTATGGGGACTTCCGCTTCTGATGCCAAAACTCTTCAGAAGACTTACTTTGATGCTTGGCTTAAAGGAAGATGATGTTGTTAATTAATTCTGAGCATCCTTCAGGAGGCTGGTGGCCCTGCTATCACTGGTGAATGCTGTCATGGACAACTTCAAAGGGTAAAGACAGTATTTTTGTGAGACTGTTTTAAGTTAGTGCTCTGATACAGGAAGCAGTGGGTTAAGTTTTTGGTTTAGATGAACTGCCCAAAACTCTTTTCACTTTTAAAACCATTCACAAATTATGGGAACAAATTAGAGAAAGAATTTGTTGGAGTAGCTGTCCAGCTTTCTGTATGAGCTGTCTTTGAAGGGTGTATTTACTCTCCAGATTATAACATAGTATAGATATACTTGTGATGCTTGAAGTGAACTAATTCAGGTTCTGGGAGCAGTCTTATTGCAGAATACAAGCAGTGAAGTAACTTTGATATTGTTGAGCTGTGTACTGCTGCAGCCTGACTAGATACCTGAATACATTGTTTAAAGACAGTTTTAGGGTAAGTATTTCAAAACTATACCACAGATAATTTTTGCTGTACCTTCAGATACTCTTCTACAGTTGTTTACTGCAAGGGCCAGATTTCATTTCGTACTTGATTTCATTTCTGTAAGTCAGTGCAAGATGTTTTTCTCTTTGTAAATCCCTGAAAATAATGCTTAATTTAACCATCAGTCTTTGTTGCTTGAGGGGTAGTTTTGGCTAATGTTTCTTCATAGTCTTCTCTTTTTTTAAACACAGTAAGTGGGAAGCTGCACTTAGTAGCTTCCAACTAAATAATTGTCTTAAAATAAAATGTAGTAGTTTATTAATGTTTTAGTAGCAGTACTTTGTTTAAGATGATACTCAAAAGCGTACAGTTTGCTTTCTAAGAATGTTTTATCTGCTTACTATGTTTATTCATTCTGTTTTATCAGCTCTTTTCCAAAACACCACAAGCAGTTAATGCACTTTATAAAGGACTCCTGACCTTTTGCATCTTTCAAAGTCGTATCTAGATGTCACCAGTGTTTCCCATGTTAACAGTTCTGAGCATGTTTTACTATATGTGCCTTCGGCGCCGAGCTAGGACAGCGACGAGAGGAGAAATGAACAGCCGGAGGGCTATTGAATCAAACACCCGAGCCTTACCTATCAATGTTGAAATAGTTCAGTATGCCAAAGAAGTGTTGGATTTCAGCTCTCACTACGGTAGTGAAAACAGCATGTCATATACCATGTGGAATTTAGCAGGTATTCCAAACGTGTACCCTAGTTCTGGTGACTTTACTCAGACTGCTGTCTTTCGAACTTATGGGACCTGGTGGGATCATTGCCCTAGTGCTCGGCTGCCGTTCAAGAGGACGCCACCCACCTTCTGTAGCCAGGACTATGTGGAACTCGCTTTTGAGGAACCAGTTTATCCCACTGCGGTGCACATTCTGGAAACCTATCATCCTGGAGCTGTAGTTAGGATTTTGGCATGCTCTGCAAATCCTTACTCACAAAATCCACCAGCTGAAGTAAGGTAATTTTTTTTTTTTTTTGTCCTTTATGCTTTCTTGTAAGATGTTGAATGCTACAAATAATGTTGTTTAGCAAACTTTACTTCTTACTATTTCTCTATTTTGTCCTGTTGATTTCATCCTGTTGGTTTTCCTCATAGTAGGAACTCCTGATGAAATTCAGTTGAGGGGGCCGGAAGATGGGGACCTGGGTAATGGTAAGATAATAAAGAAAAACACTGTGTATGAGGTGTGAAGCTCTCACTGAGGAGGTGAGGGAATAGAAATGGAAGGAGGAGGGGAACAGGTAAAAGCTTATAGTGGGGAAAAACATTGGGAAAAGCTATCAGTATATGCAATCAAAGTATTGAGTATACATCCAAAAGAGATGAAATGATACCAAACCCATAAAGGAAAAAAGAACTGATAGAAGAAAGACTTAACAAAATGTATCCTATATAAAATAATATGTCAACGAATACTGTATTCCTCTAAAATACATGCTTTGGCAGTGTGAGCATTGTTGGCTTAGATGCTGGGTGTTTTTTCCCTGACCTGCCTTTTACAGATACACCTAAAAAGCGTCCTTTAGGTCTAACTTAGTATCCCATGCTTCCTAATATTAGGCCGTTGATCTTTATTCAAAACTCCTAGAAAATCGGGTGTCATGTTATATATTCAAAATTCCCAATTAATATATTTTGTGTGATTCTATGGTCCACTGTTATTTAGTGAAGTTGTTTGTTTTATAGCTCTCTAATAAGTATATACTGTATAGCTCTAAAGTAAACATCCGAATTCAAGGAAAAGTGATAGGTGGAACTAATAATAATAGACTGACTTCAGAAGTAGGACCGTGTTTGGCACTGTAATACAGAACTTATTTATAGGATGGTATGTGGTGAAGGCAGCTTTTAAGACTTTTGAACTTAGAACCTAATGTGAAATTACTGTTGGCCAGTTACTCTGTGAACTTTCATTTTACTTTTTTATTTTATGATACAGATTTTGCTTCTTTATTTTATGATGTAGCCCAGATTTATGTAGAGATTATTTCTGTAAGTGTTGATAATACTGTATCAGAGTAATAGTAAGATACTGTGCTGCAGGGCAATACAAGGATGTAATTCTGAGTAATAAGCTAATGCTGTTTTATGAAAATGTCTGTTTAGGTTTTGCTTCATAAAAAAATACACTTTTTTAGTTTTGTGTAAAGACCAAGAAGCGTTGAAGGAAAGCTCAAGAAATCTTAACTGAAGGAGCTATTTAGTAAGGTGTACTAAAAAAGAGAAAATTGTTTAAAGAGCTAAAAGAAGATGGAAGCGAAAATATTAATATAAAACTTTTTGGGATGTGCTTTATGACTCCTGTTGGGGTGTGGTCAGAGTGAGAGCTCAGACTTTCCCTTCTTCATAAAACAGGATGAAGTTTCTGTGGAACCCTGCCTTTTAATTCGTAGGCAGGTGTGTCTTCTGTTCTGCCTACCTAAGTTAACAACATTTTTGGTTAGAAGGAGGTTGTCTCAGGGAGCCTCAGAACCAGTTGTCTGTGCTGCATCTTCAGTACTTGCCAGTCTTGATGCTAGCATAGTGTTAAAAGCACTTTCGTCTTTTTTTCTTTTGGCTTGCCTTTTCTCAGCAGGACTTGTCTGTTCAGAGCTGCACATTTGGTTTGTCTATTTCTTTCTTCCGAAAGAGACAAAAATGTCTTATGCACAGTGTCTTGAATGGAAGATGAAGGAATCCTTTCTCCATGTGAGATACGCAGTATTTTTTCCTCTGTCCGTTTGCTCACCTTTGTGAAGGCAATATGAAGAGTTGCAAGAACGCGGTCTCTTTTCTGCTTCAGTTCCTGGTCTCTTGTTTTCATTTCCAAAAATTCTCTGAGATGTCAAGTAAGAATCATTTTTTTTGAAGGTGGAATGCTGCTGATAATCTCAGGTGACTCTGTGTTTCACTGATGTTTTGGACTTGAAGAACTGCAATACTATTTTCTTCTGTTAAAAAAGGCCATGTCTCCGTTACTCAGAGTGCAGTTAGAACCTCGTTTTCCTCTTCTGACTATTTTGATACTCAATTTTAAATCACCTTATTACCCAAAAACCTTAAGGTGCTGCTTTGTTCTATCTGCTGATTCTGGATCTGTTTCTTTCTGAACACCAATGTAGAAAGGGCGGGTCATTAGAAAGGTTCCTTTTCATCAGTCCTTACTTTGATATAAAAAGAAGGCCAAATTAATGGTGGGGTCAAAACCACCATTTGACCGACAAAAATGGTGGAGGAAAAAGTCTGCTGAGACTTGTTGAAATATTATGCTTATTCGGTTATACTAGTTCATCTGAGTAATCTTTTTTTTTTTCTTTGTTTAGTATTTAAAACATCAGCTCATCCAAGACTTCTGTGTGCAGAAGCATCTAAGGGGCTCTGTAGGCACTTGGTGTACTGCAGTCCTTCCTTAAAAGGACTTTATATATTCTTGAAGAAAAATTGTTATAGCCCACATAGCTGCCCAATGTGTTGCTCATTTTACGCTTCACTCACATGAGAGAACAATTTATGCAGGTGGTCAGAATAAGCTCTTTTAGTCCTCTGATGCCGGTGCATTGAATACTGCTATCAGTTACAGTTTTGTGTGATACTGTCTCAGATCAGCTTTATTCAGAGTCTCCTTAGGGGTGGGATCAGCTCTTCATGGAATGGGAATAAGTATTTATTTTTCAGAACAGAATGTAATGGTTCCTAAATAATTCTAATGCTTAAAACGTGACAGTTAATTTGAAGGTGTTTTTTTTTATTATGATTTAACCAGCTTTTGGCAATTTGAGGTTTCTCTGTCCTCTCATATAGTTTGCTGCTTTAAACAGAGAAGACATTACACCACTCTGCATAAAACAATTTTTAAAAATCATAAATGTCAGAGAAACTGCTGTCTTTACACACGGAGACCTTTTGTGCATTTCATCAGTGCCACTCACACCGTGACTGTTGCAAAGCGTTTGGTAATTTCTTAAACTATGTTAGTATTCATGTACAAATTTCTTACATGGATTATCTGAATGCAGAAAATCCAACCAAAAACTAATAATCCAAGAACAAGGGAATATTGTATAATATAGTCTCATTTTTTATGTGACAAAAAAATACCTCCCTTTTTTGTATTGTGTTGTGCTGTGATTATGCTACTGGTGTAGCCTTGAGAGTTTGTACTGTGGCGCATGTTCTGTGTACTTAGGGTTCGGTGACAACTATGAGTGCCTCTGTGCCCAGTGGGAGAGGCAGAGCTCCACACAGGCATGATAGGGACACTGCATCTGTCAGTGGTGGGAGCTGAACCCAACCAAGAGAATTTTCTTTGTTCCTCATAGTGCGTTAGATTGATGGACAAGATATAGCTAGCTTCTGTGATGAGGAAAGTGTTTTCTTCCCTGTTATTTTCCCTCCTCATTTACCCAGAAGGCTTACTCCTGGTGGTTCCCTAATGGCTTCTTTGGTGTCAGCCCTTTTGAAACATTCTGATACTCCTAATAGCTGCTGTCAGAGTAGAAGAGTTTGTGTGTTTTTAAATGGGAGCTTTCAAGTCAGAAATATTTTTTTTTCCCCCGAAGTTTTTCAACTTTCTTCTTTCACAAAAAATAACTTTGCTTCTTAAATTTGGAATATAAAAGAAAAAATTGGTCCATGTTCTTCTTCTGTCGTGGTCTTTTTTTAACTTAATTTGACAGTTTCTCTTATCTCATGTACGTTATAGTGACACCATGTATTCATATGCTTTTATAAAAGCTCAAACTAGAGATTCCTAACTAGTCTGGGATGTGTGGCAGTGCTTGGGGTGGTGTTTCACAGCATATGTCCTTACTGCTGTGTGATGATTGCTTCTTTAGTAGTTTGGAGATTGTTTTGTAATTCTTTTTTTTTTTTTTTCTTGTTTTCCACAGATTAAGTACAACACTGATTAGGTTGTTTCTTACAGGTGAGGTACCGTGATCATTTGACTGGCTGGGAGCAGTTCCAGAAGCATCAGTGGCAGCACTCTGCCTTTTGCGTTCCCGCCATTTATTTTTAGTTAATATAATTTCTTTCATATCATTTAGAATTTTGTTAGATGCTCTTTTGAGCAAAATTCTGAGTTTGATTTGTAGGTGAACAGCTTGGCTCAGTATTTCCTGTTTTAGCTGTGTTTGCTGCATGTTGAGGGTCCTTTCTCTTTCTGAAGGCCTTGAAGCCTGTAGAAGCAAAAGCTACTGCAAGCAGAGGAGCAGGCTAAGGAAGATGGACAAAATAAGAGGCTCCCTCTCCTTCCATTAGGAAGTTCATTGTATTTAGGCAATAGGCTCTCTCTGGAATTCTAACCCAGGTGGGAATGATGCAGATTTGTTTGCTGGCAGCTGGGATTGGGATGAAAATGTTTGATGAAAAAAAAATCCCCACTTCTGAGTGAAACCAGAAAGGCAGTGTACTGAATGTAAAATATCTTCAGTCTCTTGCTTGTAGAGAGCGGCATTCAGATGGTTCTTTGGCTCTACCTTTTGCTCCCTGTGAATCTCAGATGAAGGCACCCAAAACACTGCTGATACCATCAACACATTAGAGTGTGATAAAGGACCTTCAGGGCTGTATCTCACCTATGTGTAACACACAACTTACGTTCTAGCCATTTGCATCCTTATTTATAACTTGTTTTGACGTCTTCAGGGAAACAGCTTTTTGTTGTCCTGATGACTGTCATAGAGGAACGAGTTCTGGGTTCATGGAACACAGTCATTTCTGAGAAATCCATAAAAAGCTCATGTGGACAGGGCAGTTATTTCAAATATCTTTTGCTATTTTAACTGTCCTGAGCATTCTTGCAGTCCTATCTACTCTCTCTGGTATTTCAGAATTGAAGTCTCAAAGTAGAAATGAAAATCTGAGGCATTTTTCCCCTATAGTAATTAGACTGCTGTGAACTCTGCTTATCACCTTGATCTGAATGGTTCTAAAATTGTTCTCATGATCACTCTTCCCTGCCTTTTGTATTTATGAACTTGCTGCTGTGGCCAGAGGTGTGCTTTACAGGTTATGTTGAACCTAGGGTGCTGAAGCATCTTTGGCATGTTAGCAGGCAGAAGGTGTTTTCTTGTAGGTAACCTACAGATTATTTACAGAGCACTTGCTTGGATAAGGGCGGATGGGATGTATTATAATTTCGTATCGTGGTTATAATTGTTGCAGAAGTTGCCATTTCAGCAAAGGTGTGATCATATTATTTTTCTGAGTTTCTGTTTGTTCTCCTTCTTGGTCTATCTGAGACTTTCCCTTCTTTTGACTTTTAACACAGCTATAAGTTTCTCTGGACAGGGTATGTATTTTTTGTTGCTGATTACCACATAGTGCTTTATTCACTTTCTACACCAATCTCAATTTTACAATGCAAGAAATATCAGCAGATTGCAGGCAAAGTCTAATCTTGTCTCGCTGGAGAGAAATCTGATTACTTTTCCTAGGAACCACTTTTCCAAAGATTTTTTCTTATTATATATTTTCTTCTGGAGTAACCTCAGTGTACTCAGGCATCATCTTAGCCATTAAAAAGCTTTCCAACAGCATTAGGTGAACAAAAAATTAAACAAGCATTAAATAGGTGCTCTCATTTGACACAAACCTTGCAAACATGTTTCTCAGCCTAGAAATTACTAGACTGTATTTTCCTTCACGTTGAGGGAAGGGGAATGGGAATTTATTTTTTTTACCATATAGGTGTATAGAGTCTTTAGACTCCATCAGAAATTTGAGCAGAATGAGTTCCTGGCTATCTTCATGAGGCAGAGAGAAATCTAATGGGAAAACTGAGTCCATTAAAGCTGAATGGAAAAACTTAACTTAAAGTCCTAATTTCCTTTAATCAGTAGAGAAGGTAATAAAGATGTTACTGCCTCTCATTCAGGCTTTGCATGGCACTGTAAAGACTGAGGCTTTCTGGCAGGTTGCTGGTGAAACCTTATCAAAGCACTCTCATTGCAACCTCTTTGATCAGCTCTTGCTTTGTATCTGCCAGACTTGAGGACACACAGTGTCCTACCTTCAGTCATTTGATTCTGCTTGATTTTTTTGAGAGCTACCTAATTAACTTGAAGAGGTGGGAGGGAAGAATATTTCCTGTGACTTCTTGGTATTTGTTGGGATACAATTTCTCTTTGTTTTGGGTTGATTAGTTATCGAGCATCTTAAGCTTGGAACAAGTGCAGGCAACCTTATTAGGAAAGCTGATTTTGGTGCGCAGCCTCAAACCAGGACTGTCAAAATGCCTTTCTTCTGAAGAATTTTGAAATGGATGGCCATAACAAAAATATGCTCCAGAACAGAAGAAAGCCTACTGAAGTCTCTTGGAAATTTAGACTTTTTTGATCCATTTCCAATTGTGGAGTCTTGACTCCCATTCAGATTATGTGTAGCCCATTTAAGTGTCAAAGTGCTGATCCTAGATGAAGAGACCATTTCCAATTGCAGTAATGGGTCTATTAAGATTATGCCTACACTCAGGAAGAATATACCATCCCTGACTCAGAGCAATTGCTGTGACTTGTTCTTGTGTGCGGTGCCACCAAGGGAGAAAAGAACATAAAATCATCCTGGTAGACTTCAGGTTTTCCAGTTAAACCAACAGTGAACTCCTTTAAAGTTAGATTGGTGGGCTGTTGATGAAAACAGTATGACAAGGACAGTGGAAAATAGTCAGCGGACCTGTTCATCAGCACTTGGTATGTAATGTGGAGTTTCACGAGACTGTAAAAAGTTGTGCTCAGTGTCTTGGCTTTACTCTTCCCTAGTTTATTAAAGAGGCTGGGAACTGGAGACACTGCTTGCTGAAGGAGGTTATTACTGTGCAGTTTGATGAACCTAGACCTCCAGTTGCATTATTCTTTTCCAGAGCTCTATTACTGCTAGATAATCCTCTCTCCAGGGCACCAAAGGAGAAGTGAATAACCGAGACACGTTCTTGTAAAAGTTGATGGTCCAGTGTGTGCTAAATTAGTGGAAAAAATAGGCTTGAGTTTCCTTAGGGATAGTTTGAGTGGGTACACGAAAGTGTCAAAGCAAAATGTCACATGGTGATCTGGATGTGTTCAAGAAAGGTCGTGTGCATTGCCAACATTATTTGCTTAGGGAATCGACCTGTGCAAGAGAGTGTGACAGTGGGACTATGTCTGTTACTTTTTGCCATGAGCTGACATTCATTTCCTACATGAATGAAATCTTTTCTTAGTAATACATCTCTCTTACAAAAACTGTTGACCTTAGAGTAGAGTTGTCCACTCTCCTACATTGGTACTTTCTGATGTGCCATATATTCACCAGTCCTGCATATTTGGTTTTAGTTTATGACTTTCTTTTTTCCTTTGACAGAAGACTTCTACAGGCCTCCCATTCTACTGTAAGGTATTTGTGGAGAGTGGCATGATGTAGGATAGGAAAATTTATCTGTTTGTACCTGAAAATGTCCATTGTGAAATGGAAGTTTCAGCCAATACGGATTAATTTTCATATCCTTGAAACAGTAGCAAATATCAAGCTTCTGAGCCTTATTTATACAGTGTGCTATGTTTTAATGAAAGTCCTTACATATGTTTTACTATTTGTCATGATGGATAAAGTTTAAGCATTTGGGTCTGGAAAATAAAGCATGTTTGAATAATTTCTTTTAATTAATTCCACCCCTCCACCCCCCGTATGTTCTGCAGTATATGTCAGTGTTGAAGTTCAGAGTAGTGGTATCTGGTAGGTAAAGCCAAGATGCTGAGGTACTAGGGAGCAGATACAGTGTTTTTGAGACCCATGTGACAGGACAAGTAGCCTGAGAGAAATCCTTGAAGCTGGGACTAGGGTGATTGGAAAGAAATGGAGTAGATGTGGAAGTGTCTGGGTTTTGCACATGGGATGCAGAGATCGCTGTAAGCGTATTGTCAAAGTGAGTAGCAGCAGTGGTTGCTGAAGGCTTCCTTCTTTAGGAATTAACTAGACTTGAAGGAGGAGAAGATGGGCATCAGTGACTGAAGGACCTCTAAAATCCATTCACTGGATGAGGACCCATGCAGATATAAAGACCATGTTTCTGTTTTGAGGCCTTTTGACAAGTTTGTGAGCACTCAAGACCTAATGAACATAAGACTGTTCTCCAGATTACTCAATTGGCAGCAGGTTTCACTGTCATTTACTGGAGGAGATTTGAGGTCTGTGTGTGAAAATAAGGATGTATGTATGGAAGTTCTGTGCATGGCCTGAACCACCTTCTGTTGCTGGAGCAAAGAGGATAAGAACTTTTCAGTTTAGCAGTTTGGAAAGTCTAACTTTTTTTTACAAAGGACCCTTTCAAAAATGACTTGAAGATTCGATTTTCTCTGGTAATTTGACAGTGAATTACTTTAAAAAGGAATAGTTTGCTTGCCTAGACAGATAAACAAAGTAAAATTTAGATGACTTTTTTAATAACTTGCAATGCTGCAATTTGAACAGGTTTGATATTAAAGAGTCTGAACTGTGGGGTTTTTTTGTGAAAACCTTTTGTGGGAAATAAGAGACATGGCAAGACTGTTCCTTGACTACTTACATTAACACACCATTGTTGTGAAGACATCTGTAATCCATTTGTTACAATTACCTTACCTGTGAGATATTAGAACAACTTGTGTGTGAATAACAGTACTCTAACACAAACGTGTGACTATAAGTGTACAGCTTGTTTTGTTAGCACAGAGAAAATATGCTAAGGTCATGAATTAGTGTGCCCTGTTAAAATCATCCTTATGATATTTACCAAATCTAGGGAGAACACAACAATTTTCCTTGTCTAGTCAACCATGTTTCTCAGTTGTTAAATACTTCTGACAGAGAAGCACTCTTACTGTGTTCAGGAATTGCTTTAGTAACTTCGATTTTAATCCCTATACTGTCTGTGTGTGCGATTTTTCTTTTACAGATGGGAAATCCTTTGGTCCGAGGCACCTACAAAGGTGAATGGTCCTCAGGCTCGGCAATTCACACCTTGTATCAAACAGATAAACTTTCCCACAAACTTAATCCGACTGGAAGTGAACAGCTCTCTTCTGGACTATTACACTGAATTGGATGCAGTAGTACTACACGGTGTGAAAGAGAGACCTGTGCTTTCACTTAAGACTTCGATGATTGATATGAATGATATTGATGAAGATGAGGATGAAGAAAAGTATGCCTGTGGAATGGACACCCTTAATAAGCAGCTTAGCATTGTTACCCTCAGGGAATGGCCGACTAACGGATATTTTGATAAACTGCCTTATGAGGTAAGAAAAGCATGTTTATACTCAGTGTATTTGTCTTGATCATTAAAGGGGCAAAGGTACTTTATAGGGTACTGGTCAAGATTGTTGTTTTTTTCCAGTTAGTTCCTTGCATTCTTTTGTGAATCTCCTGCAGTTATTGTATAGTTATGCCTGAATTATGTAAGTCTGTCTACTTCCATGGATGGATATTAGCAAGCCACTATTTGCAGTTACTGCACTTTTACTTCTCATGAATCTGCCCACTCACACACAGTTTTTACACCAGTTATTCTAGCCTTGAATTTCTAGCTCTTGAACTTAGAAGCTTCTGGCAGTTTTCCAGTAGTTTTAGTACTCATGCTTGACGAAGAAGATATATAAAAGAGATATGAAAAGATCAAATCGAGATCTGGAAGTGGAAATAGTTTGTAATAGGCTAGAAGTTTCTTTTCCCGTTATCTCTCTTACAAAAACCCAGAACTGTGTTTTTATAACTGCCATAATATTTTCATCTTATTATGAATCTGTCCAGCTACATTTTGAATCATAGTGCAGGTTAAAAGTGTTTTAGCTGGACTTCCGTACACTGTCTTGTTTTGCTGTTTGCTGGTTTTATTTTATCATTAGCACAGGAAACAGTTGTGAAGAAACTACTCCTTTCAGATCCCCTGGCAGTGGGGCAGTTGCAAGTGTGCTCAGTGTCACTGTAGATAAATATTTTCTTTCCTGTGATTCCAGTTATAATGAGATTATGAAGGATGATTGCTGAATATTGTGTGCAGGCCAGGAATTGTCAGTGGGGTGTAGCTGTTTATGGAGGCTAGTACCCTACTTAGAGTAAGAATTGACAAATTAAATACTTGTCTTGACCTCTCCTGAAATAAACTGGGTTTGCACATAGTGGAAAGAACTTGCTGGTCAGACCTCTGGACTTGGGCAGAGACAGGGTTGTTCCCGCTCTTCAGTGACTTGCGGTCTGACAAAAGAAGCAAGTGTTTGTTTACTGCGTTAACTCATGAAATGCTCTGAGCACTTGGAGCTTGAATCAGCCTCACTTTTGAAAGCGAAGGGAGGAGATCTAATCAAATGGTAGTTTGGTTTTGTCACATCTTTTGTGTCCAAGTACCCCGGTTTGGCACATGAAGGCCATGGTTGGGTGACCGTGTGCTGTAGCAACCTGCAGAAGTGTGCTGTGCTTGGAAAGAGAGAGGAAGAGAATTTAACAACTCTCTCCATCTTTCTCCTGTGTGTTTATCTTCTCTTCTTCAGTTCCTGAGTTTGGGGTGGGTTTTTTTGTTGCTGCAGTGGAATAATAAATGAGGATACTAACTGAGTTAACTCTAGTGTTGCTTTTTTTTTTTTCCCCAGAGTTGATACAGTGTTTAATGTATTTTACTGTTGGTGCTTGTATATCAATACTGAAGTAAAGAAAGTACTTTGCATATGCAGGGGTGCAGTTGATTCCAGAACATCTTAAAATGTGTAACTGTGTTTGAAAGTTTGAAAATGTGTTGGTTTTAGTAATTCAAAGAAATTAATTGTAGAGAAAACTTGATTTAAGTCTAGGAAGTTTTGTTTCAAAAGGCTGAATAAATTGATTTGTAGTGCAGTAGACTACCAGAGGGATTGATTAATCTCTCTTCTGTTCCACATGATTATACATATAAAGATTATAATTTAGGAAGTAGTTGTGTAGTCCTGTTACTCCTATGAACTTCTGCCTCCATGTACTTTATTGTGCTTTTCTGCTTTCCTGTTTGTGTATCAGCTTCTTTTTTTATCCATTTTTAAACATGTTTTGTTTCATGAATGCATTTATATGGTCTATCAATACCAAGCACGTTTTTTTTCCTTCTGCTTTGATTTAAAGAAACTGAAAATATGGGTGGAATATTTATCAGAAAACTACAAAAGACTATTTCTGGACTGGTTTTGTGACAGCAGAAATGCCAGTCTCCTACTTTCTTGGTCCAGCTGGAAGGTTTGGGTATCGGAACAACAAAAATGATGTACTTTATAGTATGACAGTTTTTTATCACATCAGATACAGGAACAGTACTCTGCATGCTGTCTTTAAGACTGACAAGTGTCAGATATTTCTGGGTAGTGTTCAAACCTTGTAATGATGAAGTAAGGCACCCGCTGACTCCTTCCAGTTTTGATTGATACGTTACATGAAAAATTGTATCTTTTATATGTTCATGTTGATTGTGAATGTGCAACTGTCCTAAGTCTTCATACATATGCCTGTTCTTTATTTTGAGCTGTTTCAAGCTTTTTCATACTACCCTCCATAATTCACAAAATACACAGGCTGAATTGTCTTCTGTGCTAATCTTAAAGTAGGCAGCAGTTCCTCCAAGCCTTTGCTTTGCCTTCATTGTCTTTCTGAAACTTCCATAGACTACCCTTTCATAGACTGTGTTGTTCCTCAAAATGACATTAGGAATGGCTTGCCGCAGTGTGAGCTCTAAAAACATTGTTAGAGTCTAGATTGCTTCTGCCAACAATAGAGAAAAATGCTCGACTCCTGGGGCACAAACTTCCTTAGAAGAAAGTGTGAAATCTTGGATGAACTAGGTGAGAGAATTTTCCTTCCCTACTCATGGAGGGTGTTAACCAGCCCTTAGTACCTGTGAAGTACTTGTACTATCATCTGTTCTCCAGAATTACCTTAAAATTGAGGAAGGATTTTCTAGGAGACACTTCATGTCCTTGTCTTTCTTCCCAGTTAACTTTGATTAGCTTGTGCTGCTTGTAAAGTGGAAGGACTAAGGCCTTAGTCTTAGTTGGCTTTACAGGATTGTTTAGATCTCAAGGCCTGAACAAGTTAAAAGCCTTAGAGAAAGGTGAGGAATACCTGCCCCAGCATACCTGTTGTGCAGTTTGAGACTCACCGAGATATGCCAGGTACCAAGAACCTAACTTTTATCCTCCAGAGAGGAGAGTCAGGAGAAATCCTTCATGCTGCAGTCAAAAAGATTTTTTTATATATATAAATTTTGATATAAAAAGATACAAATGACATCTTTTTCATTCCTTGAAGCCAACTTTTCCTAAAGCTGCCTACAAGATTTATGAGCTGTTCATGTCTACTGGGGAAGTGAATTTCACCGCTAAATGCGGATTTGGCACCTATGTTCCAGGAAAACGGGTCTGGAATGTAAGATCTGCATACCTTAAATGATACTTAGATAGAAGAGTTGGAGCAATAAGTAGAAGCATTTTTAAGTGTCATACACTTTTATCCTTCATCAGTAAACTTCTTAAATCATTCCAGAACAAATAACAGAATAGTTTGGGTTGGAAGGGACCTTAAAGATCATCTAGTTCCAACCCTGCTGCCATGGGCCTAGATCCCTCCCACTAGACCAGGTTGCTCAAAGCCCCATCCAGCCTGGTCTTGAACACCTCCAGGGATGGGGCATCCGTAGCTCCTCTGGGCAATTTGTTCCAGTGTCTCACCATCCTGACACTAAAGAATATGATTCCTAATGTCTCATTGAAATCTACCCTCTTCCAGTTTAAAACCATTATGCCTCGTCCTATCGCTATGCTCCCTGATAAAGAGTCCCTCTCCAGCCTTCTTGTAGGCCTCCTTTAAGTACTGGAAGGCTGCTATAAGGTCTCCCTGGAGTCTTCCATTCTCTAGGCTGAACAACCCCAAATCTCGAAGCCCCTTATAGGGGAGGTGCTCCAGCTCACTGATCATCTTCGTGGCTCTCCTCTGGATCCAATACTACAAGTCCATGTCCTTCTTATGTTGGGGGTCCTAAAGCTGGACGCAGTACTCCAGGTGGGATCTCATAAGAGTGGAGTAGAGGGGCAGAAACACCTCCCTCGACCTGCTGGCCACGCTTCTTTTGATGCAGCCCACGATGCAGTTGGCCTTCTGGGCTGTGAGCGCACATTGCTGGCTCATGAGCTTCTCATCTACCAGCACCCCCAAGTCCCTTTCCTCAGGGCTGCTCTCAATCGGTTCTCTGCCCAGCCTGTATTTGTGCATAGGATTGCCCTGACTCACGCGCAGGACCTTGCACTTGGCATTTTTTAACTTCATGAGTTTTGCACGGGCCCACCTCTCAAGCCTGTCCAGGTCCCTCTGGATGGCATCCCTTTCCTCCAGTGTGTCGACTGCTCCACAGAGCTTGGTGTCATCAGCAAACTTGCTGATGGTGCACTTCATCCCAACATCCATGTCACAGGTAAAGATGTTAAACAATGCCAGTCCCAATACTGACCCCTGAAGAACGCAACTCATTGCTGCTTGCCACTTGGACATCAAGGTGTTGACAACCACTCTTTGAGTGCAACCATCCAGCCAATTCCTTATCGACTGAGTAGTCCATCCATCAAATCCATGTCTCTCCGATTTAGAGACCAGGATGTTGTGCGGGACAGTGTCAAATGCTTTGCACAAGTCCAGGTAGATGACATCAGTTGCTCTTCCCCTATCCACTACCACTGTAACCCGATCTGCTCCATGACCTTGGCAGGCACAAAGGTGAGACTGACCAGCCTATAATTTCCCGGGTCTTCCTTTTTTCCATTTTTAAAAATGGGGGTTATGTTTCTGGTTTTCCAGTTGGTGAGAACTTCACCGGACTGCCACAACTTCTCAAATATGGTGGACAGTGACTTGGCAACTTTATCCGCCAGTTCCCTCAGGACCCATAGATGCATGTCGTCAGGTCCCATGGATTTGTGCACCTTCACGTTCCTTAGCTGATCTCGAACTGATCTTCTCCTACAGTGGGCTGTTCTTCATTCTCCCAGGCCCTGCCTTTGCCTTCTCCAACTCAGGTGGTGTGGCTACAGCCCTTGCCGGTGAAGACTGAGGTAAAAAAGTCATTGAGTACCTCAGCCTTCTCCATGTCCTGGGTGACCAGGTCTCCTGTTTCCTTCTGGAGAAGGCCTACGTTTTCCCTAGTCTTCCTTTTATCACTGACGTAGCTGTAGAAGCTTTTCTTGTTGTCCTTGGCATCCCTGGCCAGATTTAACTTTGTCTGGGTTTTAGCTTTCCTAACCTGATCTGTGGCTGCTTGGACAATTTCTCTGTATTCCTCCCAGGCTACCTGTCCTCGCTTCCTCCCTCTGTAGGCTTCCTTTTTGTGTTTGAGCTTGTCCAGGAGCTCCTTGTTCATCCATGCAGGCCTCCTGGTGTTTTTGCCTGACTTCCTCTTTGTTGGGATGCAATCGCTCCAAATATTTATAGGCTTTGAGATAATCAGCAAAATTTTATGCCTCTCTTTGGAAAGAGAAACTCATGAGGTCTTAAAAGCTGTCTTAACAGCTAATAACCGTATGGCACAAGATTCCCTTCTGTTAATGTCCAATATACTGCCAGTTGCTATAGCCTACTGGGCTCTGAGCGGTGGCACATGGCGGAGATGTCTCCAGCTTTAGTCCTCCTGGAATCTCGATTATTTGATTGTGCAGTCTGTAAGTAAGATCCTTTTCTGTTTGGGGTTTTTGGGTTGTTTTTTTTTTTTTTTTTTTGGATCAAGAAGGGGCTTAAAGCCTTTCCAGTCTTTCATTGCTGAGAAGATCAGAGCCTATAGCCTAGTGATGTAAAGTCCATTCTGCCAAAGCATGTTATGAGAGTAGGATAAAGAAAAGAGAGACTTAAATGGTTGTGTTTTGTGAAACAGTTGGAAGATCCACTTTTCAGGTGTTCACCTGCACTATTAAATGCACTTGCATTTGCAGCTGTGAACTATAGGATCATGGAATTAGGGACTGTGTTTTCTTAACCTATGTTGAGGAATGTGAAAAGCCCTAGAACACCATCTTCTCTTTCTTGCCTTCTCTCTTTGCCTTTTTGTGCACACATCCTTTGTCCTTTATCTGAGCATGTCTTAGTATCAATATTAATTGGGTCTAATCTGTGGCAGATCTAGGTGCAGAATGAGAAAAAAATCAGGTTATTAAATAGCGTGTTCCTGAATGAGCTGTTTGTGTAGGCCAATGTGTTTTCACATTGGAGGGACTGAAAGAGGAAATTTGTAAAATGTGCAGGTATTCTAGGTTTGACTAGTATCCAAGCATTATTTTCTGACTAAATCGATTTCTGCATTATTGTCCTGTAGCCACAGAAAGTATTTTGTTGGGTGCAAATGGCTATTGCTTGCTGTTATTCAGCAAAAAAAAGCTTAAAGCTGGAGAAACTTTTGGGTAGGTAAGTACTTTTAGGAGCCGTTGGTAAATTTTTACCCCATGTATTGAAGCATGTGATGGAGATCCTGTCTGAGCTTATAAGCGAACTTTGCAGTGGGTGAGATACCTGGGTTTTTAAGATGTTACATTTTTTTACTGATAATTCAAAATGTAGGCATATATGTAAGATGCTGCAATCAGGGACTATGATGGTGATAAAACACACATGGATCAGGTATGAATCAGGATCTTTTTTGTGTGCAGACAGCACGCAATTAAATTGTATACTGCTGCTTGTTGAATTGTTGTCAAGAATTGTGATTTGGAAACCTCCAGTTTTTGAAGGTTTTCACTCTAGTGGGTGTTGATCTTATCGTATCTCTAAAGCTGGCGTGTGCAATGTTTGCCCTGGAAATGGGAGAGAAAGTACTTTTGTACTTTTGGTCCATCATAGCCTAAAAAAAAGCAATCAGTTTTGTATAAATTATATTTTGTTTTCCTCATTATATTCCTTTGTACTGTTTTTCCAGTAAAATTTGTTTTTACTGATCGATTTATAAGAAAGTGTGAAACAATAATGGTTGCCATAATTTTTCGTAAGTGCAGAGTAGAACAGTTGTTTGTGGGGAAACTGTTACAAAATTTGTTTTCAAAGCAGATACTCAATTCTGCAGCATTCTTGGAATCACCGTGAACATAGCACAGTGCAATACAGCACATCAGGTCACATACTCGTTATGGTATCAAATTGTTCTTTATGCTAGGATACACATACATAAAAAGCAGATTTCTGACAGACACCAGACTCCAGACTAATGGTGATTCATGGTTATTAGCCTGTAGGTTTAGAACCTGTTATCTTTGTTTAATCAAAAGCCAGAAAAAAGTACTTTATATCTTAATGTCATAGTAGTGACATTTCATTATATTTTCCCATTGTAGATATTGCGAAGTGGCATAATTTCAGTAGAAAATAAAGAAAGATTATTTTTTTCTGATTAAGACATTCATGTGGTAAGAGATTTAGTCTCAGGTGTGGAAAGATTGCAACATCCTGTATGCTATGAAATATTCATTGAAGTCATCGGTTAGCGTAAAGGGACATTGGTGAAGCATTTATTCATTCACCATTATCTTTACTGCTCAGAAGTCACGAAATAACTTTGTTTTCCATTGAACAAAACTTGTGTTACTTTTTTTTATCAGACATTATTACACCACATTAATTGTAGACATAAATTTAGCTAACTATACAGCCTTTGTTGCTGAGCTCTCTGCTCTTGAAAATGTACTAAATAAGCATGGGAAAAATCTGAGGGAAAAGACATTCATAAAATAGATATTTAGGTGGCTTACAGAGTTTGAAATATCCGAAAGATTGCAAAATAGGTTGAAGCCGTCTTTCAGAATATTGAAAATTATTTAAAGGGAATTGATGGCCTTAGAAAAATAGGTATATGCTTAGGTATCTACTATTAGAATGACAAACAAAACTGTGCTAAGCAACTTCGAAGCTGAAGTATGGGTCTGAGCCAAGCAAAAATCAAAATACTCACTTGGGATTATATCTATGTTAGCTCCTAGTTAGTTTGCTCTCTCTCAGATAGCAAAATGCCAACAAACTAAATGTCAGTTGGGAGCAAACTTTGTTGATTATAATATATTAAATGCAGTTTTTACATATATATATATATATATAATATATGTGTGTATATATATCTATATATATATATCATGCTGTCATATTGAAATGCCTACACAGATCCTCTGCATCAAGCTGAGGTGAGAGTTCCAGGCACCTGCAGAGACAAAAAGCCTGGTCTGTTTTTAGGGGCAGGGATGCACGAGGAGAAGGGAAGAGGGAAGGCTTGAAATCAAGCTTGAGAGGAACTGGAGTATATGCAAACACTGTATTTTGGCATTGGAGTTGAAAGTTAAATTTTTTGAAGAGTCGTAGATCATGTTTGAAATCCAAATACTAAATCTGGAGTTGAGTAGGAAGTAACATTTTTCATTTTGCAGGAAGTTGGATTGTTTTCTTATTTCTTCTCTTCCAAAAATGAAGGGGGGAGGAGGGGAGGCGGAAGCTAGCTGCATAAACTGGTACGTTGGATGTACAATCTGTTTGGATCTTACGAAAAGCTTAATTTTCATTTTATGCCAAGCATTTTGTTCTGATTTTTGGCGGTTTTTGTCTTACGAATCTTTATAAGAAATTAAAATGAAACAATGGTATTTTGAAAGGGCCACAGGACTCTTCAGTTTAAGCTGGTTTGTGGGTAGTGTTTTTTTAAATTTACACTGATTCATTTCGGTGAGTTGTTGTTTCCCACTCTGCTTGAAAACACTTAGTCAATTTTAGTTACATAACTTGAGTGCAGGGATTTATAGCTGTTAAAGATAGCCCTGGTAAAGTAAACATTAATTTTTAGATTTCATTTTTTGAGTGCATTTTCTGTCAGTTTATAAGCTAAAGGAGATATTATTTTTTTTTGTCGAGGATTTTTGTTATTTCCTAAAGTGAGTATTTATGTGTCTGTTTGTTGATCTTCCTTTAGAAAGGAAAACAGAGCATGATAGGAGATGGAATATTTCTTAATTTCTGAATGTGAGATAAGTCATTATGAAAGCATATATATGGTGCTAGTCAGAAGGGCTGGTCATTTTTCTGAAGCTGAGATGATTCAATTTGGTAAAGGTAAAAAGGGGTTTTGCCTTTCAGATTTCACTCTGGCACAGCACAAAAATGGTCTAAAAAGTATTACAGCAAGAAAGAGACTACTTCATAAAAGAAGATCTGAATATGTTGAATTTTTTACCTAGTTGCATAGTCCAGCATAGATGAGGGAGGATGTAAGATAGAAGACAAAACACTGTTTTTTAAAGCAGGAAGCAGATGAACATATCTGAAATCAGTTCAAGGTGTGGGAAAACTGGGACATAGTATGTTTTTTCCATGTACTCTGCAAATATGCTACCATCTTAAAAACAAAATCCAGAACATAAAGAGGATGCCAATTCGGTGTTCTGATAAACGGCAGTGCAGACATTGTGAAGGGAAATATGTAAACATATTGTTTACATATATATCACTGTTTAAATTAGCATGGGTAAAGAAACTTCTCATTTGAAAGCTTCCTGTCACTTTCATATGCTGATCTGCTTTTTCCTTTCTTGTTTAATGTGTTGTCAAATTGAGAAGGCAGCGCAGTCCTATTTAATAGTTAATCAATGATTTATTTGAGAAGTTACTTTTATTTAAAAGGATTTACTTTTCTTTGAAGTAAGAACATCTTTCCTTATTCCTTTGCAGTTTTCCCTTAACATTTCAAGTGCTATATGACCATCTGTGACTTTTTTTCTGTTTTTAATATAGCTCATCCAGTTGATTTTGAGTCACCTTACAGTACCAGACCTGTGTAGACTAGCGCAAACTTGTAAGCTACTATATCAACATTGCTGTGATCCTCTACAGTACATTCATCTCAGTTTACAACCTTACTGGGCAAGGATTAATGACACATCTCTGGAATACCTACAGTCTCGCTGCACTCTCATCCAGTGGCTGAATTTATCTTGGACTGGAAACAGGGGAGCCATCTCTGTTTCTGGATTTAGCAGGTCAGTGCTAAACGTACAGAAATATTTTGACAAGCTCTGTTTGCAGAGCTGCTGCACAGTAGTTTCAGTAAGTATTTGAAACCTTATTAAAAGACAAGAAATGTCTTTGATATACTATAAAGGGTGTGATTGTAATGGCTTAGAAAAAAACAACAGCTAAAACAGTAAGAGATAGTAGATATAACAGCAGAAGTCCATTTCAATATTTAGAGTCTGCATGTGCCAAACTGCCTGTGACGGAAAGGCTTCTTCCAGGGGGAGCAGTGTTTTGCTTTCTCCTGTGTTTCCAAAAGACTCCACTAGAACCGAGCTGTCAAAAGTCCGTCTCTTGAAGAAAATGTTTGCAGTTGTTCTTTGTGCAGATGAGTCATCAGTAGGACTGTATTAGAATGGCTGCAGTAATAAACTGATTACAGTGCATGCTTACAAGGTATGGGCCCGAAGTAATCACTGGAGTGCAATGTAAATGCAAATATTTTCATAAAAATGATTTAAAACGTTAGCCCCGTTGGGAAACGGGGGGTTTGCATGTGCGTCTTCCACTGAGCTGAAAATACGACTGTGCTGTAGGTCATTAAAATAGCAAATTTGCAGGGATTCTTCTCTGTATAACAGCCGTGTTCTCTGCTTTCTTAACATATCATTTCTTGCTTCTTTGCTCGTTTGCATTAGTTAAACTGTATCTATCAATGCGTTTCATTTAAGCAAAAATTGCTGCTTCAACTAAGAAGTAATCAGCAATGGCAGTTGAAAGTCGAACTTGATGGATAAGAAACAGAAATGTTTAACATACCAAAAAAAAAAAAAAAGTTGTCTTAACTCTCATTTGTTTTCTGAATAAAAAGGTTAAATCATGTATTCAAACAATTTATTTCCCTTGGTGTCTGGGTGCCTTCCCTGGGGAAGTAAAATAATTTGAAGAAATACCTTGTCAAGAGGAGAATGTCGCTTCCTTTTTTCCTGACCTTCCAGTATAATCTAAGAGCTCTATGCTCTTTTGTGCTGGTTGGTAGAATAAGCAGATAGACATCAGCTAGTTGTTGAACGGGGTACAAACCCTTCTCCTAAATTTGGCTTTCATATTAGATACATTATGCCGAGGATAAATATTCAAGCTTTAATTGAGAATTCAACTCTGAAATCATGAAGTGCCTGCTTTATGATGCTTAGCTATTAAATCTGTCTTTTGAAAACTTAAAGAATGTGCATCTTCATGGCAATTTTTTTAATTTTCTTTTTTTTTTTTGAACCTACAGTACTGCTAAAAATGTTTGTAGAAGAAATGGAAGAAATGAATATCTAAATTCAGATAATTATAAACTTCGCAGTTCTGGCCTTTCTGACTTCCAGTTAGTTGAAAATGGCTCTATAGCTAATGACTTTTTTTTTTTTTTAACTTCAGTGTTGAACTAATAGCGGCATTTACATGTAGTCAACATTTCTAAAATAATAAATATTCATTGCTTGACTATTAATAATCTGTGAATAAACATGGTCCATTTATATTCATTATTATGGGTGATATTTATTTGTAACGAGAGGGAAAAGTTTTCTTGGACATTGATACAACTAAGTTGTCTGTATTTCCAAGAAATAGTTTTTCCTAGAAGAGATACATGCAGTCTGGGAATGTTGTAAACTAAATAATTTTCAGGTGTGACTTCTGCTCAGACTTTTCACTTCTGAATCAAAAATTCTTCACTATAACTAGATCTGGTTTTGAAAGTTTTCTTTTGCCTAATACAGAAATGATTTTGCAACTCTTTGTTCAGTAGAAGTGACTTTTCTAATAGAATTTCCAAACACATATTTTCCTTTTGACATTCTTCATCAACAGGTTTGTCAAATTTGGTGGCCTCCAGGAAAGGAAAATTTGCTGTTCCTTTGCCATGGAAGTATCTATTGATACAGGAGACTTACTAGAACAACACTTGCTTTTCAAAAGCATTGACGTAACGTTCTTAAAAAAAGTAGCTTCCTGGTAAGAGGTACTGTTCCTTAAAGGATAAATCTGTTGAGTAATGTTTTATTTTTATTGCCCTGGCTCTCATTAAGAAACCACCACCATGTGGATATTGCAGCATCCAGGACACGTAGTCATGAACTCCCACAATTTTTCCTTGTGGACTTCTAGGTGTTCTTCACGCAGCCTGACTTTTGGGAGATATTATGCAAAACAGCGTTGCCAAAGAATGGAGGTACTTTGACTTCCCTAGGAATTTTATTACACACTTAGATATTTCTTCTAATTTACTCTTCAGAATAGGAGTCTTGCAAAGGAGGTTCTCAGTTGACTGGGGAGAGTGCATTGCTGTTTTATGAGTCACCAGCTGATGTTGACTGTTACCAAAAACTTAATCAGTTTTTCAGACTGTAATTGTCCTTTGCAGAAATTAAATACTTATGTATTTCTGTCTGTCTCTATACGTAACAGTAGAAGACGTACCATTACATTTATTAGTGTAAAATCTTCTTTTACTGCCTACTGTGTGAATGTTTCTGAATCAGTTTGTTGTTTTTTCTTTATCCTGTGCTCTTTGGCTCCCTGTCTGGTCTTGGTATTCTCTATTTCTTTCTGCAATGGAAATTTTGAAATAAGGCAATGAGGTGTGCCTATGGAGTACCAAGCTGCATCTTTTATTTTTTATTTAATTAATGAAAAGTCTTCTTGTAACTTGAGGTTGAGTTCAAACGAGCCTAAATTGCTTATTCCAATCCTTAAACTTTATAAATTTTGTGCTAAGTTACTGCATGAGCAACCAGGAATGGGTGTCAAGGCAACTACTGGGAGGTGTCGAGAATTCTGCCTGGAAGGTGTAACAATTTGAAAGACTCCCTTATGCTGTTTTTAAAAGGCCAACCTATATTTGTCAATTAAAGGAGAAAAAAACATTATTTATGAAATGAAATCTGTAAATAACTTCAGAAACACTACAAATTGCTGCACCGTAGAAACGGCAAAATGCTAAAACCAAAATACCTTATCCTCATAGATAACAGCATTTCACTTTTACAAGGCCTGTTTTTTATTTTGTTTTCTTTATTTTTTTTACTTTTCTCAGCATTTGCTGTTAAAGCTGGCACTGTTATTAAAAACTTAGAATTCGCTTCATTCTTACAACTATGCAGTTTAGGTTATGATTTCTGCAAGTCAGGGCATGTTTAAATGCTACTCTTGTTTGAATTTTATTTTGGCAAATAAATTTAAAAAATGATTTTATCTGTGGTTTCTTACAACAGTCTTAAGTAGCTTGTGTAAATTTGTGTTGCTTTAAAAGTTTATATAGATGTGATTCTAAGAAATAGTTGAAAATATGTATTTTCTTGCAAAAATGTATTAAAGTAGAATATTTTTAAAAAGAGTAATTTTTAGAAATGTGACTGAAGACAAATACTGTATTACCATGAGAAGATAGAATGCTTCAGGCATGTGAACATCCTGAGGCAAAGCTGAAGGTATTTTAACTTATTGATAACATCCAGTCCTTAGGGCTAAAAATTACTATCATAAATTTTTCATTTCAGCATGTAATATAGATTAACTAAACTTTGTCATTTAGATTTAACTAAAAGTATATGGAAAAGTGAAAGACAAATGAGTATCTGAGCAGTCTCAAGTGTCTGGAATACAAAGTGACAGGGAATAAACAAAGATTTCACAGTAAGCTTTACATAAGCAGCACTGCATTTCTCTTGGTGTTAGAGGTATGGTCAAATTTCTTCATGCTACGGGAATATCAACGTAGGAGGATAAGACCTGTATAGGAAAAGTGAGGCAAGTTGACTGGAGGTATACTAAATATTGAGATGCTGAATAGATGCTCTGAGGTTTAAACAGCTCAAGGACGATGACAGTTTAAAAACCGAGTTCTGCATGCAGATTTCTTTGTATCACTGAAAATGTCATTAGATTGTTTAAACTCTTTTGCTTTAGATATCTGAAGTGTTAGGATTTTTATTGTAACATTTTATACTATGAAAATGAATTAATAGTGTTTTATTTTCAGGTTAGTGATACAGTATTTGCATATCAAGCACATCCAGGAATATTTCTTTAACAATTTTGTTGCTGCTAACATTTGAAGGCTTGAGTTGCTGTTTAATAGGGGTGTATTTTGACAGTGTTTAACTTAGTTTGATTCATAGCAAAGCCTCACCATCAGGAAGGTCAGAGAAATTACTGAAACATGCATCAAATAGTCACAGAAAATAGGAGTAATGTGTGACTTGACAGGGATTCTCAATTTAAAAATCACGTCTGTCTTTTTTTAATTTCCATAGTTTTTAGTAAAACTTAGGGTTGCTGTAACTGAGATTAAGTGATAATGTTTGCTTTGCATGTTTTTATTGAAATAGTTTAATCTGTGTTGAGAAAAGCACAAGATCAGGTACTTAATATTCTCCTTACTTGCATGCAATGTTTTAAGGTTTGCTGACAAAAAAAAAGTTTAAAAAGCTAGAGTAGAAAATATAACAATTAGAAAGTCTTAGAGGAAGGGAAGGTGACTTCATTTTAAGAACAAAATTATGTTACTCAGTCCCTGTCATGCGTGCATACACAGATGCACCAAGACAACCGATATGTGTCCAAACCAATTTATCCAGCGTGTAGTGTCACCATTCTGTGCCACCTCCGTCCGTTGTCTCCTAATGCGCGTGTCCTGAGAAACTGCACATACGGATGCTCAAGGATCTTGATGACCTGCTAATCTAACTTCCACTAGCACACACCATTCTAGCAGCCCCTGTGTGGCCATTTGTCCTTTCTTGTGCTTCTACACCTGTATGTACCCATTTGTTCTCCAGTCATATCAATCATAACACTTTTATTACAATTACCTGTCCGACATGCTGCTGCTGTTGTGTAACACAGCAGTCCTGAAAGGAAAAACATCATTGTGAGTGTAAAAGTACCTGGACATGACTTTAAGAAATATGTTAAAATGTAATTCCACGAGCCAAATCTCATTATTTTGAATTAAATAAGTAAATTTATCAAA